CCACCCCCCACTCCAACAATCACCTCTTTCTACAGAGGAGGAACCTGGGACTCAGAGACGTTAAGTGGTTTCCACGAGCCCAGCTCAGGGACAGGGACTTTTCTGCTGGCCGTGGCGCTATCTGCCTTGGTCTCTGCCTCGTCAGACCAGAAACTTCCAGGAGGAGTTTCGCTCCCCTCTGTCAGTCAGGGAAGGCTTCCTGGAAAGACTGGGCTATCAGGCCTGGTCTGGGGGAGGTCTGGTTGCTTTCCTGGCCCGTGGGGATGGACTGCTTTGATCTCTGACCTTGCCGTCCCTGCTCGCGGCAGGTCCTCGGGCCAGGTGACCTCCGGGGATGTCTGTGCCGCCACGTCCACCCGCGCCATCGCCAGTGCTCAGGGGGAGCACCAGATCAACCAGATCGCCCTCAGCCCTTCAGGCACCATGCTCTACGCTGCCTCGGGCAACGCCGTCCGCGTCTGGGAGCTCAGCAGGTCAGGGCACGCGTGTGGCGCCGCGGAGGGCTTGGCGTGGCCACAGGGGGCTCCGCGGCTCTCTGCCGTGGATGCCGCCCGGCGGGGCCGGCACACCCCCGTGCTCCTCTGTTTCCGCCTGCTGCTAACAGGGCTTGGGTCCCGGCTCTGGGATCCCGCACCCCTGTCTTCCAAGGCCCCTGGGACACCGGGCAGCTGATATCTTGGTCCCTGGTCTTGCGTTGAGGGGGGCAGAGTGCCCTGGCCGGCCCAACTCGTTCCAGGGCAGACCTCCCCCACCGGGCCCCACAAGCTAGGACCGCCCCTGACCCGTGTCCCCCCACCGGCCGGGCCTCTCCCCACCGCAGGTTCCAGCCAGTTGGCAAGCTGACTGGCCACATCGGCCCTGTGATGTGCCTGACCGTCACCCAGACCGCCAGCCAGCATGACCTGGTGGTGACCGGCTCCAAGGACCACTACGTTAAGGTACCTGAGAAGGCCTCCTCCCTCTGAGGCCTGGGGCGGGGGGGCCATTCTCTGCGTTCCTCCTGCCCTCCTCCACCCCTTCCCTCTGGGGCCTTGGGAGCCCTCAGGAAAAATAATGAGACTTCTGGGGATTTATGTTGAAGAAATCACCCCAAAGAGGCAAGGAGGTGTGTGTGTGCAGAGAGTAGATTGCAGCGATATTTTGTAAATGGTGCACAATTGAAAATAACCTAAATGTCTAAGGGCGAGTAGCAGTCACGTCAATTAGGGAAAACCCACTGAGCAGGTCGCAGTGCATCTACTGAACTGAGAAAATGTGAACAAAACACAAAGGATAGCAAACAACACTAATTCTGTTTGCTCCCCGATTATGTCATTGCAAACCACATGGATGCAGTCGGAAACTGGGAAGTAGAGAAACAGAGGGTGGTTGGTATGATAATGTTTGTGTTTCAAGTACAGCTAATATTATATTAACTTAAAAATAAAAGAAATTGAAAAAGAGGTTCACACCCCAAACCTACCTTTCTCCATATGAGCTGCATGTTGAGCTGTGGGGTCACCCCCTGCATTAACTTATTAAGCCAGTCTGCTCCAGTCCCCTTAGGAAGGGTCAAGACCCAAGCCTTCAGAGTCCTCTATCCCCAAGAAGAAGCAGTGCCCCTCCGGGAGCCCTCTCCTGCTGGGGAAGCTCCTCTCCCCCAGGGCCAGGGCTACCAGCCTGGGTCAGGCCACTGGGTCTGCCGGCTCCCAGGGACCACCGTGCTGTGTGAGAGTAGGTGGGTGGCCCTGGAGCTTCCCCCTTCTCTCTCAGGCGCTCCCCACCAGTTTTTCCTCCTGCAGATGTTCGAGTTGGGTGAGTGTGTGACGGGCACCATTGGCCCCACCCACAACTTTGAACCCCCACACTATGATGGCATCGAGTGTCTTGCCATCCAGGGAGATGTCCTATTCAGTGGCTCCCGGGACAATGGCATCAAGAAGTGGGACCTGGAGCAGCAGGAGCTCATCCAGGTGTGGTGGGCAGGAGGGAGGGGTGGGCTAGGGTAAGGCCATTCCCCAGTCCGGGCAGGGCCTTGGGGACCTAGGGTCTTGGGCCAGAGCTCCCCCAGCCTGCCTATTCTCCACCCTCTTCCCCTTTGTGTCCACTCCCCTGCAGCCTCCCCTGTACTCTCCCGTATGCAGCTGCTTTCTGGAAAGGGGCTCTCTTAGCCCCCAGGTTTGACTCGAAAGCTCAGCCAATCACTGTGTTCCCTTTCCTGGAGCGTTTACCCTTGCGAGGCCTGAAGGGTTCTCCACCAGTGCAGGATCTTAGGTTTGCCTCGGAGTGGGAGACCAAAGGACCTATCTCTGGGCCTCTGCAGTCCCCAGCGTGGGCCCGCGCAGCCCGCCTCCTGGACAGTGCTCTGCCAGTCTGCCTGCCCAGGGACCCCAGAGGCAGAGGGGAGCCTGGTAGCTGCCCTTCTTGTGCGCAGTGTCCCCTGCCAGCAACCCCCTGCCCAGCACTGCCCTCAGGCCTCACTGGCTCTGCTCCTCCCGCAGCAAATCCCCAATGCACACAAGGACTGGGTGTGTGCCCTGGCCTTTGTCCCGGGCCGCCCCATGCTGCTGAGCGCCTGCCGTGCGGGCGTCATCAAGGTCTGGAACGTGGATAACTTCACGCCCATTGGCGAGATCAGGGGCCACGACAGCCCCATCAATGCCATCTGCACCAACGCCAAGCACATCTTCACTGCTTCCAGGTGGGTGCTAGGCGGAGAGGTCTGTGTGTGTCCCCTGCCCCTCTCCCTGGTGTGGGCAGAGCAGGCTGGGGGGCCTTGGGGCCCCTGCAGTTGTCCCAACAGGCTCGGCTCATGGAGTAGACCCCTCGACGCCTGCTAGCCTGTGCTAGCCCTCCAGGAGTGCCCGCCAGGGGCAGGGGAGCAGGAAGGTGCTGGGCCCCAGGTCAGGACTCACCCACCTGTCTGCAGGCCTTTCCTGCCCTTCCCACAGCAGCCCCCCCCCCTCCACCCCCCGGCTGTCTTTACCCCCGTCCACGTATCTCAGACCACAGAGCAGCCCTGCCCCCCCTCCGGACCCGCCTCTCTCCTGCCCCAGCTCAGGTCCCCATCCAGGGGATGCCCAGGCCTCTGCCCCACAGGGGAGCTCCTCAGAGGGGTCTCTTCTTTTTCCTTCACGTCCGACTATGTCCCTTCTCTCCTCCCTTTCCCTCCCCATCTCCTCCTGCCTCTCCTCTCTGCCTCTCTGCCTCTCTCCCCCAACAGTGACTGCCGGGTAAAGGTGTGGAATTACGTCCCCGGACTCACCCCCTGCCTTCCTCGCCGAGTCCTGGCCATAAAGGGCCGAGCCACCACCCTGCCCTGACCCTCCTCTCCCGCCTCCTCTGTCATTCTCCCCTCTTTCCTCTTCCCTCTCTTTCTCCACTTCGGTCTGAGCTGCTTCTCAACGGTATGAGATTATTTTACTCCTCCTCCCTACTCTCCCTTCATGCCCTGCCTGGCCCGGACTGAATGCCCCGCCTGCCGCTCTTCCTCCCACCCTCCTCTTCCGAGCATGACTAGCGGGACAGACCCCCAGGAGAGGGGTGCCAGGTGGCAGAAGGCAGAGGGGGGAGCATCCAGGCCTGGACAAAACAAAACAGCACCAACGAAAACCCATGACGAGAATTCTGTTGGGGACTTTGAGACCACAGGCCCTCTCCCTCTGCCCAGCAGCCAGCCACCCCTCCACCCCTGCAGTCTGCCCTCATCCTCAGCACTGCTTGTCCCTGGGCCCTAGCCACGTTCGGGGAGTTTGGAGAATCTGGCCCATCCTTAACTTTGGGGGTAGCCAGCCAGGCCCACTTTAAGAGCTGACCAGTCCCTCTCTGTCCTCCCAGTGACCTGACAGTGAAGTTCTGGAGCGTGCGGCGGTTACCTGGAGGCCCACCCTAGGAGCACACAGCAGGCCTCACCCTGGCTGTCTTTCAGAGGATGGCCCCCAGACCCTCGGCCCCCCGGCAGCCTGGACAGCACAGAAGGGAAGCTGTGGTCTGACAGGGCCAACTGCCCTGGGGACAGAGGGTGTGGGCCTCGGATGTGGCCCCTCTCCTGCTCTCCTGCCTCTCCCTTGACCTTCCTATGGGATACTGTACCCCCTGTCTCTTGGGGTGGGGGGCGGAGAGAGGTTGGGGAGGAATTTAAGCTGTGAAGCCAAAGGGCATTTTCCCCTCTCATTTCTCTCCCTGCAGCCCCTCGGGCTCCCCTTGCCCTCCCTCTGGCCATATTTTCTCCTGCTGAGCTGGCCATGCCCTTCCTTAAGCCTCTGGCCCAGTCGTAGGGAGCTGTAGGGGAGGCGAAGCATCCCAGCCCCTGCCCTGCCCCTCCGATGAACAGGCCTCCCCCTCTATCCCCTAATCCAGCCTCTGGAGCCGCTGCACCTGCCTCTGAGCCCAAAATGATAGTCCTCAGGTAACCATGGAAACCAGGTGTTGGCAGCTGGGCCCTGCAGCTGACCCTTAGCCCCTTGGCCACCAACAGCCATTCCCAGTTGACCCCAGCCATCCCTTGGGGTCCCTTTCTAATGGGGCCAAGGTAGAGCTGCTAGAAAAATTCCTTTGGGGAGATGGTCAGAAATACTTCAGCTATTTATTATTTTTTTTTTTATTTTTACTTTTGCTGTTGCCTCCTGGAAACTGACTTGAAGTTTCTCCCCAAATGTTCTTTCCCTCAGCACTCGGGGGCCAGGAATCCCAAAGGGAATCTGCCCGACCAGCCCTCCAGGGCCACCTCCTCTGTTCGCTTTGCAGCTCGGGCCCGTCCCCAGCATTGCCCCCAGGGACCATTCTAGTGCACCCCTGACCTCTAGGCCGCCTGATGCTTCAGTGCCTTCCTCCACCCCGGGGCCTGGCACTCATGCCGGGCAGCCTTACACCAGCCATGCCCGCGGGCACCACACGTGTCTTTGCACTTGCGGGGTCCCGTGCCCGCTGCCCCCAGAAGGCAGGGGAGCTCCACCCCACAGCCCAGGGCCAGGGGCCCCCTTCCCAGAGTCCTGTGTGGGCCATGTAGGAAGCAGCTCAGAGGATTATGTCTACCAGGATGGCTTGGATGGTGAGGCTGGCCCAGCCCCCTCCCCGCTCACCTGTATTTTCACCCCAACAGGGCCAGGAGTCCTTCTGGCCTCTTTCTCTCTGGTTTTTCAGGAGACACATTTTCAAGCCTTAAAGCTGGCATGGGGCAAGAGGCCCTCCCCTTTTAGTTAGCGGTGAAGAAGGAATTCATTGAGTTTCTTTTTGCCATGGGGCTGTGGTTAAATCCGTGTTCCAGCGCCCCCTGTTGGGGCAATTCTGAATTTACAGGACCGGGCCCTGGGAGGAGTCCCTGGACATCCCTCCGCCCCAACCTATCCGCGGTGTTTTTCCGATGCTTAACTGGTCCTGTGCTTCCTGTCCTCAGTCTGGTAGCCAGGAGCCCCAGCTCTGTTCTGAGATACGCAGTGACTTTTAGACCTTCCAGAGGTAGCTCTGGGTTTGTCCTCTGTGCCTCTGCCTGTTTGGCCAGGGGATCGGAGCCCCCCCGGTGTGGCCCCAGTGTGGCCCGCAGGGCAGAGGAGGATGTCCTAGTGGTGAAAACACCTGCTGGGGCCTGAGGGCCCAGCCCTGCTTCCCCCCTGTCCCGAGCAGCCCCTGCCGGCCCCGGCGGTGGAGTCTGGGTAAGCTGATGTGTGCAGGAAGCACGCATCCTGGAATACTGGCCTCCTGGAGCCTGGGACAGTCAGTCTGCGATGGCCGGGAATCCCTCCTCCTTCAGCCAGCCCAGGGGGGGCCCGGCCGCTCCCTCGGCCACGTGGAAGCAAGCGCCTCTTCCCCTCCCCATCCTTCTCCCCACCTGATCAGAAAGCTTCAAACTTGCAACCTGTAAGACTCTGTCTGCATGACTGTTTACAAACCGTAGAAACACAAAAGACTGCGCTGCCCCCATGGGCCGGGGCTGCCCCAGCCCGGGGAACGGTACTGTAGCTGCAAGACCCATTCTTGCGCGAGATGTGACCTTACGGCCTGCGAGAGGTGCTCAGCATCATTGCCCACTTTCTGCTCTTTCTGATGGGTCAGCTACCTCATGGCAGGCCGGCTCTGCTGTCCTGGCGAGTATCATTGACTCTAAACCTGAAGTCCCTCGGGAGCCCTGAGCCCTTCCAAAAGCTGTGCTCCGAGAGCGTTGGAATCTCTGCCTACTCCTTCAGGGATGTCCAAGGTACATAGTTAGGGGGCAGGCCCCCAGCATCCTAAAGGTTGGAAGCACAAAATGGTTGTGATTTGAGCACAAATAGCAAGGCTTGTGGCAGGTGGCCTGGGCAGACCTGGGTCCAGGGGGCTCATCCCAGCTTGGTTCTGTCCACAGTTAGACCGAGTATGTCCGGGTCTGGGAGGGCGTTTCCTCGCTCAGACCAGGGCTCAGCCCATGACTTGCCCTGATTCTGGGGGGTTCGTCATACTACTTACTTTTCTTTGCCCATCTGCAGACTTGAGCCGGGGCCAACGCCGGCCCGGCCACATCAGAAGGCGTGGGCCCAGGAGTTAGCTCCCTCTCTCGACCCCACACCCCCCAGTCTTTAAATGCCTGAGCCCAGGCTGGGTCCCAGCCCTACTGGGCCTAAGGAGCCCAGAGCCACATTCCCTGTCCCCAGGGCTGAGCCCCCCTCGAATGCTTTTGAAGCTGACTGCCTGTGGGCCTGCTCGGCACGGTCCCCGGCCAGGCTCTGTTCTCAGTATTAATCAGTTCAGTGTTTGCTCTCATGTGAGTATCTGATCGCTGCATGACGGCCAGAATTCCCCAAGGTAGCACCTGGAGTTGCCTTGGGAGATTGCCAAGGAAGAGGAAAGGCACACCCAGGCTTTTGAGGTGGTCAGGGTGCCTCTGTGGGTCTGGGAAGGGACACTTGCGGATCTGGGAGTGGTCTCCCTACCCCCCACCATCACTACAGCTCCAGCCCTCTCTTGTTTGGCCCTGCTGCCCACCTGGGGTGGTGTCGCCTGGGCAGAGGGCAGTTTAAAGCACAAAACCGCCGTAGGGAAGACCGTGGCTGGGACTTTCCCACGACACCCAGTGTGGCAGAGAGTGGGCAGGCCGCAGCTGTGAAGTTAGAAACGCTCTTTTCCCTCACGTAGACCATCCCAACTCTCGGGGGTATCCTCTGATGCGGTCTGGGCCAGGCGCGGGCACAGCCCCCGGCCTGTTCAGCCCCAGCCTGAGCCCAGCGTGTTCACCATCACGTTTGTGGGGGCAGGGCCTGCCCTGCAAGAGCAGTGAGTTTCTTCCCACCCAGCGGCCCGAACATGTGGCATCTGTCCGTTTGCCATCCCAAACAGGAAACTGCTTACCGCTCTCTTAGCTTAGCCCAGCATCCTGGCCCAGCCTCAGGAGCCGGGGCTTGGCCAGTGGCCCCACCGGCCTTCCTGAGCCTGGCCTTACTCTCCTGGTTCCCAGGATCCCTCACAGCCCTCTTACGCTCACGGACAGAATCTACAAGGAAAATTCTGTTTTCTATGGCGTCTTCATTCTAGCCCCCACCCCCTGCCCAGCCCCAGCACTCCAATGAGCCCCCAACCCTTAGCATACCCTGGTCCAGGTTTTTGAACCCTTGTCCTGAGGGCTTTGCAGGGAAGTGGGAACTACTCCAAGAAGAGCCAAGGGTCAGAGAAGACATCTGAAGTGAATCGGGGCCCCGCCCTGCCCACCAGCTCTTTTCTAGGGATCACCCCCTGCCCAGGCTGCAGGGTCTCGTTTGGCTTATGCCCTCCTCGCTATGCGGCAATAGCACAAGATGTATATATGTTTTGTACTTCTGCCGATGATTGTACATAGTGTATGAAAGTTATTTAAGCCTCATGCTGTACATTTCTGTTCCTAGACTGGATGTGTGTGTTCTAAGAAGTTGTCATAAATAAAACCCGAATGACCGTTACCTGTCGTGGTGTGGCTCCTGAGAGCTGCCAGCTTTTGGCTGGTGGCCTTTCTCTGGGGTGGGAGGTTGGTGCTGGGGCAGGTGGGGCGGGCCCCTGGGGCTGGGGCCCAGCCTGGTGAGAATCTCCTGGGCTGCGAGTTTGGGGCTTGCTCAGTGAGAAAGCAGTGTTGAGAGTGTTGCGTTCCCTGCAGACTCTCTGTTGTCCCCTGGGATGGGTACTTTAGCTGGAAGAGGGCACCAGCGCTTACTGAGCACCCACTGTATTCCGGGCACTATTCCAGGCATTTTTCCTTGGATCTTCACTGCCTCTGTGTGATAGGTGGTGCTCTCATTTTCTGAAATGGGCAAAGTCTCAGAGAGGAAGTGGCGTGTCCAGGATCAGCGCCGGTGAGGACAGAGCCAGGACCGTAACCCAGACCTGCCTGACCACAGCACCCGTGTCCTTTCATGAACATAGCAAGTGCCTTTTCCAGAGCCTGGAGGACGCCGTGCATGATGCATACCAGACATACTTCCTTCACTTGCCACTTATGAAGAGAAGACAGAAATACGAAAAGTTCGTAGAAGAAAACAGCTCCACAGTGGTCTTGATTTTCGTTTCTAGATCAGCGCTTTTCCGTCTTTAAAAATGCCTATTTCCCTTTTTTTTCTAAGGCCCTAAAAATGCTCTGTCTCCGCCTATTAGTCTCATTATTTTCAACATAAAAATAGGTCTAAGGGGATGCCAAGCAAACCCATAATGTGCTCTTCCCCCCAGAAGACATGGGATTGTTCCTGGACAACTGAGCTACTCTCATGCTTATAACTCAGTATATTTGACCTGTTGCTACTGTTGTTCAGGAATCCATGGCTCCCATATAATTTTAGATTGCGCTTCATTCAGAATTCACTGTGTCCCCGAGGCCTCGTGGCGCCGGTGAACCAATGTTAGCTCTGCGTGCAAGTATCCAGTTTGTCAGGTTTCACTCTCGAGAAAACATTTTTAATAAAAGTTTTATTGAGATATAATTCCCATACCATAAAGCCCACCCTCTTTTCTTTCTTAGGCTAATGATCTCATTCTGGTTATTTCCATATTCCCTCCCAGTGCCTTGTGGTGACAGACGCTGAACAGACACTGAATGAGTACATGAATGAGTGAAGGAAGTAAGGAAAGAATAGGCATGTTTGGAGGTGGCGAGTTATGAAATGTCACTAAATAACGAAGTTTTCCTGTACGGAGTTGTCACCTTCCCTTTCGATAACCACAGCTCACATCCCTCAACTCCTGGAGATTCTGGCCCATCCCTGGGCATTGTGGCCTCTGGGGGACCATCTGCATCCTCATCACCCGCCAAGACCATCTTGGAAGCTTTACTTTCTGATTTTTATAAGGTGAACACAATAGGGTCTCTCTGCTGTGTTTTCCAAATATGAAACCAAGTTGCTCTGTCAACCTACACAGTCCTTGCTGCTTATCTAGACCTACGGCTATTGGCTGTTGACAGGTGACCCAGCCGGTGAATTCTGTGGGTCTGTAGGAGGCAGACGTCATTGTGGGTTGGAGGTGGGAGGCTCCCCGGGGGAGGTTCCACCCAAGAGGCTCCTGGTCCTCAAACAGAAGGGTCTTAGCAAGTGAAAGGGGACCCTGAGCCGCAGAGGGGGGGACACAGGTGGGCGGAGTTGCCCTGATCTCCCCCGAGGCCCTCCAGCAGGTGCTGGAGCCTCCCTGCCCTGGGAAGCAGCGGTGGCTTCCGAGGGCGGTTGTTTTTGGCCGGCTGACTGAGCCTTACCCACGCCACTCTCCCTGCCCCACCCTCCCGCCTGGTCTGGTCCCACCCTTCCTCTCCACAGGTCCTTCTTTTACATAGGATCCCACCCTACGGACAGAGCCTGCTGTTGACCGTGAGAAGTGACAGTTGGGCGTGGCCGGCTGCAGGCCTGTAGGGGTGTGGGTAAAAACCAGAAAATACAGGTCCAGGAGCTGTTGACCTTGTCAGGAGCCGGGCCCTGGGACGGACTCCAGCCAACTGGTTCTACCTTGCGACTGTGCCCCTCCCCTTCCCTGCAGAGGGTTTGCCATAGAAGGTGGTTTTTCCCAAACTCAGGTCACCCTGAAGATGCCAAAGCGCTGAGGGTTAGGGAGGCAGGAACACCAGGTTAAAGGATCTTGCTCTTTTGTCCTTTTGTGGGATTTGGTTTTCCCCCCAAATTATAACAGTGGTATCTACTTATTAAAGGAAATTTGGAAACCAAACAGTGTGAAGGAGAGAAGTACTATTTAGGTTGTACTCGCACCTCTCAGAATTTGATGGGAGTCATTCTTTTTTAAAAGATTTATTTATTTATTTGACAGAGAGAGACACAGCAAGAGAGTGAGCACAAGTAGGGGGAGTGGGAGAGGGAGAAGCAGGCTTCCCGCGGAGCAGGG